GTCACTTCTGGAAATTACTACCTGGTACAAATAAAGAACCATATATGTCAACGAGCACGTTATTCTCGATAAAACCATCAATAAGATCAGAATTTTCCGCTTGGCGATGTGAAGTACGAATAGTGATAAGTATTCCCATAAATTGTTGTATGTTTAATGTTTGCCTTCATCACTCACAAAACAAAACGTTAGGTGATCACACTTTTGCTTAAGTATTAAGTGCATAAGACGCGTGCATAGTGGGGAGGATGACTTCCGTTCACATGTTTCATCTCCGAAACTTACGAAAATATTTCCAATAAGTCTGATACTTTACAGCTGTAGAAGCATGTTCTTAAATTAACTTAATTTTTGTTCAGATCAGTCCAACACTACTTTACACGAAGTTCAAATTAATTTTATCAGTTTTCTTACAACTTGACGTAATTTGTTTGTATTTAACGAAGCTGTCAATACGTCAGATTATATGCTGTCAAATGACAATGATAAGTAAATAATGACTTGGAAAAGATAAGTAAGGAAGAGGCTGTCTTCTAATTTAAGGCACTATCTCTGCATTTGCTGGAAAGAATGAGGAAACCACGACTAGCCGGTCTCCCTTCCGATACCTAAACCCAGGACCTCCCGAATTCGGTGGGTCGTCGCATTAATAAAAGGTGCACGATATAATATATAGGCTATCATTAACATCAACTTGTTACACTTAATTTTTTCGAGATTATCTATATTCAAAGAGATAATCTTTAATCACATGCACTGCAATACCACTTTAAGAAGAATAGATTTGTATCTGGGGGAGACATCAAGGTCAAGAGATATTAAAGTAAAAATTACTTGGGAAGCATGTAGGCTATACTCCACAACATAATACCAGTTCACAGTTGTTTCATTACAGCAGGTTTACCACCATTTAAGTACAGTTTATATCATCACCTGGAAAATGCAAGTGCAATAGAAAATTCTGTATGCGATCGGTGGTAGAATACAGAATCAGTATAATGCTTAACTCGACCTAGAAACAAGTTCGTTGCAAACAACAAAGACTGCAAATGTTACAGTGGAGCTTGTAGCATACATAAGTACGCACTGTCGATTTCGACAGACTCCAGACTTATGTTCAAGGAAAGTAAAAGAAATGCATTCCTTTAAAAAAAGAAAGTTTCGACATACCGCACGAGAAACCATCTTATTTAACAAACTGAGTCGTCCTGTAAGAAAGATAAAGAAATTTCCACCGCTTCTGTGCCTACCTATGCTCACATAAACAGCCGCGTGACCCTATCTCAAGCCAGTAAAATCCAATCTCTCAAACTTCACTCCCCATTTCTTAAAATACACAGTTTAACATATTCCATCTGCGTCTTGGTCTCACGAGTTGTCTCTTCCCTCGAGTTTTTCCCACCAAAGTTTCGTATGCATTTCTCACTTTCACATGCGTGCTACTGTATATCCCTCTCAATCCTTCATCATTGATTTCGTCAACGTAATAATATTTGGCAAACAGCACAAATTACGAAGCTCACATAATTTTCCTCTTTCATCTGATACTTTCTTATTCAAGAAGCTACTTATTTTTCCCATCAGTTACTTCTACTCCCAAGGGTTCAAATATTCTAAGAAAACCTCAACCCAAGATCTCCCTTCAGTATGATAATCTCAATATCATATAAACCTAAGTATCATGGAGAATGGAGTATAGGTATAGTTGAACATAAGTTAAAGATCCCAATAATTTATAAGTTATGTGAAGAGCGAGACGATAGAAGACTCGAGAAAATAACAGGAAGCCGTTCACCGAATTTAATTTGCTGTTAATTTCATTACAAAACTAGCAGAATTAAACTACAGACAGCAATCCTATACAGCATATCACCAGGCCAACAGCAGACCTACTTCTGAAAAAATAAATTACTATTACCAGTGGCGAAGCCTTCATGTCAACCGTGTTACACCAGCTAACACTTTGATTAACATAGTCTACCTTTCGTGATTCAATGGTACTCCACACACGGTAACAAAGCAGAAACTATCAGATAAAGTGCATCGTTAGCCAGCTCAATCGCCTAAGGCTAATACGTCTCTACTAACCGGCTAACAATGGCTGTCTGGCTGCAGCTGGCAAACGATGCATCATATCTGATAGTTTATGCTGTGTTCCAGTGTATGGAGTACCAATAAATTTAGAAAGTGCGACATAAGACTTTATATTGCGTTTGTCACGTTAGCAGCGCTACCACAAACCATCAGCCCCTGATTATTAAAAAATCACAACAATTCCACAAACGCTTCCCCTCTACTTGGGAGGTCGGTGGTCAGATTCATGCCCTGCCCGCTTGACCTCCGAGGAGGTCGAGTAGGCCCCAGGTCCGGTCAAATCGTGGTCATGCGCATGTCGAAAACCGAACTCCGGTCGTTCAACCCACAGCCAATCTAAGACTGTAATGGCATAGCAACGAATGACTATATGCTCTACTAGAAACATCACAGCGGGATTTGGAATGAACCTCATTCGGAAAACCGGCCTGACACCGCTGATGTCACGCACAGAACTTGGCGGGCGCCAGTGCGTCAGGCAGGCTTTGGTCCAAATACGATGCCTACCAGCGCAAGAACTTCCCACACAGCAGAGTCCGTATTGAGAATCTGACATTAGCCCAACTTGTTTAGAAATTTGCAATCTTTTAAGGAACCCGTAGGTTCACTACCGTGTTCAATGGACCTTGTCGAGAAGCAACTAAAATAGTCCAAACCCTCACATCCTATTTCTTACACACGTTTCAATATTATTCTCCTTTCTCAGATTAGATCTTCCGTTCAATAAATTATAATACTATCCTCCTGCCTTTCAACTGGTCTCTTCGGTTCAAGTTTCGATTAAAATTAAGTATGTGTTCCTCATTTCTGCCACGCGTGCTATGTCCACCTTCTTATGCCGCGTCAAAGTGTATCCGCAGTCCAACGTTTCAGAGAACTTCTCTGCCTCCATCATCTGGAAATGATGACATAACCCTCTGATGTGGAGACAGAAGTCTCTGAAACGTCGCTGAGAAGATTTTATCAGACACTGTTACAATCGAGAATAGCCAATATCGTCGCATTTTGGCACAATTTAATTTTTCCAATCTTCCCAGTAGGTTAAGCTATTAAAATCTGCTATACTTTTATGTATCACGGGAATAATTTTAGTAAAACATAATGTCGGTTTACCTTTTTCAAATGTTTGTTGACCCATTTGGTAAAAGTCTTCTTTTGAATGGCGTCTCGTTCGTCTGAAATTACAAGCAAAAATTAAAAATTTAAACAATTATAAAGAGTATAAAGCAAGAACAAGTGCAACAATACAAAACCTAGTACAAATTCGCTTACAACCAATTACAAAAATGAAACCGAATACGAGGTGCGATCGGAAAGTTTCCAGACTGTCAATAGAGGGCGAACCGGATGTAGTACGAGCTTCTGGAAAAGATATTCAACAAATCAATTAATTGAAACCCACATAGAGTCCAAGCTCTGATTCTGTTTTAAGAACGTCCAACCTGCAACAAAACACTCCTGACAACATCTACAAAAATAACGATTTATTAAATACAACTTCCCGGCGCTGGGATCGTTGTGTTCACTCCCAGGGGAACTACTTCGAGGGTGATGGATGAATTTAATACCTGAGATAAGTGTACGGGTTTTTATAGGCGCAGTCTTGAAACTTTCCGATCGCACCTCGTATCAATAAGTGCATAAAAATCCACTTGCTTCATTAGTCCAAGATACTTCAGCCTTGAAGAAGGGAGGAATACGTTCCTCCGAAACCTTGGTATCTATCAACAAGTCCAAACTGCGTTACATCGAAATCTTCAACCCGTGAGAATATCAAATCTCAGCCCAAAAATATTTCCTCCCTTCCTCCAAAGGTTAACTACTGTTAAAAATCGTATTTTGTTAACTACTTGCTCGGTTTAAATCAAGCAAAATTTGTAAACATGATCATAACAGACTGCCAAGTCCATACGCATAGCGACTGTCGTTCAAATCGTGACTCCATTACCCCCATTAGCGTGCTGTGTTAACGAGGTGTGAAATTTCCTCCTGCACGGTCCGTTATAATGACAAATCAATTTCAAATAGGAAAAAAGCAAGGGCGTATAATATTATAGGAACTGCCTATTGAATTCAGACCACAAAATATAATCCAGACGCGTTTTATTAAAACTGATTACTGTTCTTGTAACGTTACATGCAAGTTAAACTTCGGCATTGTGAGACAGAAATAAAAGTAGCCTGCAGGAAAATGAAACAAAACTTCTTCAGTCCGTAACATAACAAAGAATTAAATTTCAATTATCGAGTACATTCGGAGGCAGTACACGCAAACGATCAGACATATTCAAATTATGCGTTCATTTATGCACTTTGTGCAAACAAATCATAATACTAGAATCACGAACTTTCTTGAAAATTGCAGTATTCTGTATTTTGGTAGAAGTTCGCCGACGTTTCAGAGGTGCCTATTGTCTCCATCATCAGGGCGATGATGGAGGCATTGACACCTCTGAAATGTCGGTAAATTTCTATCAGACTACACGGCGCAACATCCCAAAATACGGACAAATTTTTACACTAGCCGTCGTGAGAACATTAATTATCATGAAGTTACTTTTCATTGGTTTCCACATTTCGTTAGTTCATCCTACCTGCACGTTTTCACGGCGTGGTGCCTAGGCAGTGTGACGTATTCATCCTCATATCTACACACCATCATCCTGCCTTATTTAAATCCTTGCACCTTCACCTTGTCAGGCATACCAGTAAAACACATGCTGGGGAGTGGCGAAATTTGTAGAAAAAATAATGACGGAGGAAAAAGTCTCTCACTTCTAATTTAAGTCTGTTCATGAGCGGAACACGGCCTAAGTAAAACTCATTAGCTTTACATTGTAATGAAGAAACTCAAGCAGTGTACACGTCTTCCTGCGTACTGTAATTATCTCGTCTTGAACCTACTGTTTTAATGACACAGATTTTAACGAAATTTAGAACGATAAGCCTGTATCACGCTCTAACAAACCCCGCAAACTTTGCGGGGAAAACAGCATTATGACGAAGCATGATTCCATTGTCTCAGATTTTATATAATTATTTAATAAAAAACATTAAATTACTGTAAGTTACGCTGTTATTTATACAAAAATACAAAATCTATTAATAAACCAACAATGACCAAGATTCTTATTAGTAAGCAGACAGGTCAAGCCTTTTTGTGGTGCTCAATGGCACATCATCGTGTTTACACACAAAAAAAGACATGTCCACGCCAGTAAAATCCAGTCTACCCTTTCAACACGTAATTTTAATATTATACTACCATCTATATAGCCACGGTGGTCTAGCGGTTAGAACGCTGGCCTTGTAATCCTGGGGTCTCGGGTTCGATTCCCGACGGTGCCCGAATTTATAACTTGTGTTGGGCAAGGCCGTGGTCTTGGCAACACGGAGTTTTCCTCCGTGGCATCCCAACAATTACTCCATTCACACACAGAAGAAGGCAATGGCAAACCACTTCTGGATCATCTGCCAAGAACGTATATGAACAGGTCCCAGTCCGAGAAAAGGATGGAAGGATCCTGCAATGTCAAACCACTTCTGGATCATCTGCCAAGAACGTATATGAACAGGTCCCAGTCCGAGAAAAGGATGGAAGGATCCTGTTCATATGGACCTGTCGTCAGACAGAACACTATAAATAAAAAAATTAAAAATAAATAACTACCATCTACATCCAGATCTCGAAAGCTGGTCTCTTCTTAAGTTCCCTAACTAAGCTCTCTTGTGTACTTCTCATCTCCTCGAACCCACCCCACTCCCGCAGAACTCATAATCCTCTGATGGCCCTAGTAAGTTGGAACAACGTAGACACGGAATTAACATACACTTGCCTTGCCAGCGATTGTCTCAACACAATACAGGCAGGAGTGATTCTATTTCTGTTGTATCCGAAGCCATCGACAGTCAACGCAATGCGACAAAAAAGTGAGGGGAAAAAAAGTTCAACCAGGGGTCTTTCATCTCTGCTGCCGGTTATTTCCAAACGGAGAAGCAAGCGGATGTCGCTGCGTGCCTGTTAAGTGTAGAGGGTTCGGCGATAAGTTTATTGTACCTCAACAGACCCTGTGGAGAATGTCTCAGCGTGACATCCCACAAGTAAATCCTCTGCCGCGCCCTCTCAATTCGTGCTGACTACAGTCTGCGGGTGTTGAAAATTATTCACAAAAATTCAAATGCTTACCATTCTCTGCCTTTTGAAAATAATGTATTCCTTTATGAGAACTCTTGTTCTGTGCTGCCAAATCCTGAAAACATATCCATCAAGCGTGCACCAAATCTGTTTGGTAATCTGAGTATCAAAACAGACCACGGAGGACGCAAAAACAGTTGACGTACCTTCCTTTTAATAAATTGCTATCTGCCCTGCAAATAATGGCTTAAGCCCAGCCACATACGTCGATCCTTCGTCATAAGCGCAAGCAGAACCTGTTTACTTTTCATGAGATATTACATTATCCATCATCCCGTCACTAACACTGTGACATAGTTAAACCAGAAACCATTCTAGTTTTCACGTGGATAACACAACGAAACAAACCTGCACAAAGGATACTTCAAGTTTTCATCAAGCAGGCTTATGTGCAACTATGGTAAGTCTACTTACAGCAACAAATATTGCACATTGGGTATCGCACGTACCAGCACAAGGCAGGCGCTCACGAAACAAATGAAGCATCCACCACACGACAGGACAGGTCAGAGCAGTGACTAGCTACTGACTAAATGACTAAGGTTCGAGTCCCAGCATGAGTAGAGTGTTTATCATAGTCTCGTCTCGTCCAGTCTCAGCCTCCTTAGGATAAGCACGATTGTTTTCTTCACACTAAATATCTTTATTTAGGGCACGACAGTCTTCGACTGGTGTTTTTTAACACATCAGAGAGCGAGTAGAAATGCAACTGTTGGCACAAGACACGAACCATCTCCTTGCAGTACTCATCTTAAAAATCTAATAGTCTATCAGTTGGTCAAGAAATTCTCTGCCTTTTATGAAAGGAATCATTAGGTTCATTACCGTGTTCTCAAAACCCGCCACTGGTACCTACAATAAGCCACTAGAATCCAATCAACATCATTACATATTTCTTTCTTTCAAGATCTATTTAAATAGTATCGTTCGCATTACACCAAAGTCTCGCTAGATAGGACCACACTTGGAATAACTACGGAAGAGCACACAGATCATTTTACAGCTTCCTCCAGCCTCCTGCCACCTCATCCATCTTAGCACCCCGTTCTGGAACACACTCAATTTGAGTTCTATCCCTAGGGTCAAAGAACATCCACAAAAATAAAAAAAATGTAAAATTACACCGTGTATATTTGAATCCTTAAGTGTTTAGCCGTTACGCCGGAACATAAAAAGATTCTGAACCGAGTTGTAGTAAGCATTTCCCGAATTTAATCTGTTCTTAATTACTTCGTAAATGTGTTGTGATTTGTTACTGTCGTTCCCCAAACATTTAAACTTTACTGTGCCCAGTTATTGCTCAGTTACAATCTTAAGCTAGTTGACACGTGCACACTAAATTTAGCACCCGGGGGGGCATTGATCCAACAACTAATGTTTCATGTTGTGTTCCCAAACCTTAAAAAAGGGTAACAAAAGAACGTGTTTACACAAACAAACATTAATTCCTGTATCTTCCTCACTACGCTTTCAGTATTTTCACTATTTCGAAAGGGTCAAATTATGTCTCAATGGAACTGCGACCTCTAACGGGTCCTTTGTCCATCCTTCAGATGATATATGAGTGAATACGGAGAAGCGATGTAATTATATTGGCAGGGAAAACCAGAAGGATTCGGAGAAAAATCTGTCCCAGTGTCATTTTGTCCGCTGAACTGGCCCGGGTGCGAAACCATGGCAGTAACTCCGACTATACAGCGTCGAATGATGGAATGATTAAGGAATAATAAGTTGTGAAAGGCAGCGGTCATGGTTTAATTTAGGGCACTATTCCGACATGTCTGGAGTGACTGAAGAAGACGAATCTATATCCGAGCCGACGTGCATATTTGAACTTACATGATAAATTCGCGTGGATACAATTTATATGCCAGCACTCTGACCCCTTTCCGAGAGTAAACGGACTATTTCGCGATAACAGACCCAGCACAAAAAATAACAAGAAGAAAGAAAGAAATAAAGAAAGAAGAGACACGAAAA